GCTTCTACAATATCCTAAGAGTTCAATTCCAGTAACTACAATCCTAAAACGCTTCCGCCATGTCATTAAACGCAAATACAACAACAATATTTCCAAGAGAAGGAACGTGTCTCGCATCTGCTACTTGAAAAAGAGATTGATGCAGTGCAGAAGTTGGCGTGGTGGTAGCACGTCTCGAATGGCGATGGGACTCACACCATCATGCGGTTTCTATAGGCCGGCAAGGTTCGAAGCAGTGTAGAAAGGCATGACGGTAGGTAGGATCACTTTGCAGCCAGTTTTGGAAGACGTGAAGGAGAGAAGGGAGATGCAGCTGGCTGGAGAGGAAGGTGTTTCTAAGGTGGTCAATGAACCACCCAGAGAGGGAGGCGGACTATAGGGCAACATGGAGGATAGGAAAGTTGTTTCCATAGAGATAGTGTCGATTTTTCTTTCCTATAACTGCTACTACTTTGGATGCTAACACAGAAGTGATTAGATCAGGTTGTGGTGGCACATCAGAGATAGGAAAAAAAAAAGAGAAAAAAACAAAAAAAACATAGCTCTCAAAAGTGTCACTGTGCCAGTCGGGAATCGAACCCAGGTCTGCACGGGGCCCATGGCAAGGTGCTATTCTACCTCTTTATTAACAACATAGTAAATGTATAGTGGAAACAAGGCAAATCAAGACAAGTAGTCTAAAGAAAGATGTGCAAGTTAGACCTCTAATGAGGCCTACAGATAGGCCTCTGTGACGTCCCAGTGGTCCTCTCCCAAGTAAGCAAAGTCAGCCGCTGAAAGAGAAGTCACTTCGGATGGTGTGTGGTTGACGCCCTCGGTGAAACGAATTTGTGCACGTCGACAAACAGTGCGAGCCTGCTCATGCTGGTGGACGAGAGAAATACGCTTGTAGAAGGTGGTCTCAAACAGCTTGGGAAGGGAATCTGTGGCACCACTCAAGTCGCGAAGTTGTGACTCCCCTTTACGGCTGCATCGACGAAGGAACTGGTTGAACGAAGAGCCTAAGCAACCGAAGGTCTTGATGACAAGGGAAAACAGTTTGACGTCTGGGCGGTCATGAAGAGCTGCAGCATAGCGGGTGGTCTTCTCACTTTCACGGGTGGCTGCTGCTGAATCGATCACGGTAGCTGTGTTGGAGTGCCGAAATCCCTATTGAGGATCGGCAACAGAAACATCCAAGGCCAAGGTGGTACCAAAGCTGACATCGCGGCACGTGATGTCCGTGCGGCGACCAGGGAGGAGATGTTGGTCTTCCATTTGCGCAGAGAAGCCAAGTTCCAAGGAAATGCGATGAACTCCTTGCTTGATTGCGTCGTGCACCTTAGTAGGCTCGTTGTTGCTAGGGCAATGGAGGACATGAGAATGGATGGAAGGGTCGGTGAACGGGGAGTTGCAGATGCAGGTGTGTGAAGATGAAATGTGAGGGAGAGGAAGGCCTAGGCGGACAGCTGCTGCAATGCGCCACTCGGTCTCTGAAAGCTGCATGTGCGGGGAGGATGGAGCCACGGTGAGTCAGTCACATGCATGCGGGCCCTGCAAAGAGGTTAGGCGAGCAAGGCAAAGCGGGGACGTTACTGTGGCTCGAACCTTCTCCAATAGATCGGCTTCAAGGTGCTGGGACAGGTTAGTGAAGAGTTTAGGAGGGTAGCCCGATTGAAGCACAGACCATGATGGGAAGCAATCACGAATGTCTTGGGGAAGCATGGTCATGGTAGATGAGATTGAAGGGTCGAGGTGGTTAATGGAGTTTGTGGTAATGTAAGGGTGGAAAAGAGGAGCACCATCGGTGATGAAGTGGGTAGATAAGGTCGAGACTGTCTGTGCCCAGCTGCAGAGGTAACTGAGGGGGGCGATGGATGCAGAGCTGCAAATGCCGAAGCCACCCAAGCGGATAGGGAGCGAGGCTTGAAGTCGGGCTGATGTAGACTCTTCAGAGCTGGGATTCCAATACTCGGAACCTAGGAGCTGAGAGAAGTGGCTGAAGATGGTCCTGTCCCATGAGGAGAGTAGCTCTTGGATTTCGGGAAAAGGTGCGACAGTACGGAGGAGGAAAGAAGGTCGGGCAGTAATGCATAAGGAGAGGATCCGTGAGGCAATCTGAGGGTCTTGTAGTTGATGTAATAAGGGGAGGGAGGAAGTGAAAGAGTCGAGTTTGTCACGAACTGTAGAGATAATGTAACCATCTGAGCCGGTAGGAACGCCAGCGACAGTGAGACCGTTTGCCGCGATGGAAATACCAGAGGGCGGAATGCAGTGTTCGGGCAAGTCCATAGGGGCCCATAGAGAGGACTTAGAGGGTTGGACAGTAAGGCCGAGAGAGAGAAGGCGGGCGGTAAGGTCAGTGTATGCAGCAAAGACATCTGAGGAGGGCCGGCCAAGTAGGTGTCGTCCGCGTATGAGGTAATGAAAATAGAGGGAGACCGCTGCTGGGTTGGTTGGATGGCTAGCTGCTGCGTTAAGGCGTACAGAAAAGGACCACAAGGGTCGCCTTGACGAACACCGGAAGCTGATTGGAATGTGTGGAGAAGGGGGCCGCTGCGGTACTGGAGAGGTGAAGGGGTGGAGTAGAATAGGCGGAAGAAGGGAATGAGGCTGGAGAATAGGGAGCGCCTTAATGCCTCGGACATGGCAACTCTGTTGAAGGAATTGAATGCGTTTGCAACATCCAGCTGTAGCACCACCCAGTCTGGATGAAGGAAGTGGCGGAACAAACTGCGTGCGACATGACCTCGATCCCTGCTGGAACTGCTACGCCAAATTGAAGGTGAGGAAGAAACGTCTTTCGTATCTGCTGCTTGAAGAGTAGAGTGATGCAACATGAAAGAAGGCGTGGTAGCACTTCTCCAATGGCGATGGGACGTACACCACCATGCGGTTTCCGTAGGGCGACGAGGTTCGAAGCGGTGTAGATTGGCCTGACTGTAGGTGGAAGATCGCCTTGCAGCCAGTTCTGGAAGACGTGGAGGAGAGAAGGGAGATGCTGTTGGTGGGACAGAAACGTGTCTCTGAGGTGCTCAATGAGCCATCCAGAAGGACCAGCAGCTGTGCCGCGGGGGGCAGACTGTAGAGCGGCATGGAGGACAGGGACAGTAAGCTGTGGCGTGGCATTAAGAGTAAAGCTGTGTACCCAGTCGGGAATCTCGGCTGCAGCAGGTGGGTGCTTGGAGCTGAGGGTAGCAACTGATTCTGATGATGGAGGTGCTAACTCGCCAGCTTCTAGTGCTGCAAGTAACCACGACCAATCCCCGCATTTTGCAAACCGCTTCGCACGGTTGAGACGAGCCTGCAATACAGTAGAACGTGCTGATGCCATGTGCAGAGGTCTGGCAGCTTGAGTGGTTGCAGATACGGATTTGCTGAAAAGAGAATGCCAGTCACCATTGATGAAGCTGCGGGCTAAGGAAGCACATGAAGAGGTAAGGGGCTGTGTGGGAGCAGCGGCAGTTGGTAGGCGCAACAGGAGATGCGGAAATGCCAAGAGTATGAGGTGTGCAGCGATGTCAGAAGGATGCTGTGCAAGGCGATGCAGTGGAATGAGAAGTGCATCAAGAATAAGCACTCAGATGCGAGACGCGATTCGGCGGAGAATAGGGCCAGGTGAGACGGTTGGGCTGAAGAAGGAAGGCCAATCCCAAAAAGGAACGGCCTCCCGGGTGGCTTGGGGAATGGAAGGTAGATCTGCGGCTGTAGGCGCTGAAGTTGGGGCTGATGCGCGTGGAGAAGGAGGTCGAACAGCTCGCTGTCGTGTGACGGTGTTGCGGGAGCAGGCTGAAATGTGTTTGGTGAGAGAACCAGGGTTGGAGAAGGTACGCTTGCATGTACGGCAAGTTGGAGGACATGGTGGGTTGTTGGGGGTTGACGAGGGCGGGGAACTTTGCGCGTTTGGCTGTGAAGAGCGAGGGTTGGGGGGAGGAGGAGGGTGTTGTTGAGAAGGAGAAGCACCGGTTTCAAAGTGTGATAGTGGGTGTGAGTCGACGGCAAGGGTTGCGGGATCAGGAGCATCTGTTGTGGCAATGGGAGGATGGTCACATGATGGCGAGGGGTTGGGGTGAGAGGTTTGCGGCTGAGAAGAAGACGGGGAATTAGAACGGGTGTGAGAGTACGCCGACGTTCGACATATTTCTCATTTCCATATTTTTCCTATATCTTATTCTCCTTATTTTCCTCTTTCATTTGCACTTTATTTCACCTCAATCGGACTACTATTCTATTTTCTAGAGCTTTCCGATTATTTCACTTATTTTAGGGTTTCCGGCACCGACAATTACATTATACGGCACCGACAGCACCGACGGTGGTGTACAAGGCGTAATCGCATAATCCGAAGTGCCAATGGGCTTATTGGCACTAGTGTTCTTATGCGCCGGTGCCATACAAGGCGTGCTTATGCGCACTAGTGATTATGTATTCTTTTGTCCCTGTTTGGGCTTTTTTTTTTTTTTTTTTTTTTTTTTTTCGAGGGCACCGCGAGGTATGCTTTCCTTGACGATTTGTTAGCAATGCTCTCCGCCTTACAGCCGCCATGGCCATGGCCAGAGGTTTTAACAAGCACAATGTGTATCAATTTCTTGCCTGATCAAGGATCTGAGGCTTGCTTACGATGCGTGGCTTTAAGCTCTACGCAACGGTGTCCTTTTAGAGTTCATAACGGGAACCTTAACACCTGTTTCTTGAGTTCCAGGCTATCGTGCAAGCTACATATACAGATTCATCATGCTTTTTTACACGGCTTGAACCAAGGCTATCATCAAGGCTTACATCAGCATACGTCTCCTAGTTTTCATGACGACGTTAGTCTCAAAACTCGCGATGGAATCAGAGTTCAGCATTCCCGAGGTATGTCAACTCCAATGTTGTCTAGATGGTCCTCGAAACTGGAACTTCAGAGGCTCGCTTTCAAGCATGGAAGGCATAAAACGTCAGCTACGAATCAGTTTGTGCTCAGAACGGCTTGTCCATCAGCCATTGTCAGGCTGTCCAGCTCTTTTCATCATCGCACGATGCCGCCGAAAGGACGCCGTACCAAGAAAGGGTCGGAGGCTGATCAAGAAGTTATGGATAATGGATTACCTGTGTTGCCGGTCGCTGGTGTGGAAGCTAAGGACAAGTTTGCCGCTGTTGATGGTCCCTTTGAAGACCTCTCGGATCTGCAGACCATCGTTGACCAAGGAAAGCAGTCAGGCACGGACGAGCCTGACACTGAAGGGAATGCAGCTGATCAGGAACCTACCGAGTCGAAAGAGGAGGCTGCTGCTGAAGGGGAGGCTGATGACGACGATGCGCCTTCTGAGATGGCTCCGGAGGATCAGGAGGACGGTTACCTGAGTGACGACTCGGACGAGCACCTGGAGCTAGACTCGCTCAACAGCGTCATTGCTCTTAAGCGTTTCTCTCTAACTTTGCTCGTACCTTTCGCCAGGAAAGCTGAGGTGACCCGTGCAGCGGTTACGATTGCTGCTCTGCTGGATGATTGGAAAGACCAACTTTCGCCTGATGCGCTTCAAATGACGACGTACCAGGAGCTCTCATCGATGCACCTTTCGCGCAAACATTTCGGACGTCTGCAAGTCACTTTTAACCATGTCCGAGATGCTAACTTTGTCTGGAAGCAGGTTATCAACCATGAGTGTTTGAATGGTGATTGCATCAGCCTTACCTGGCAATATCCTGAGGACGCACGTTTCCTGCGCGAACGCATTCTGAACCCGACCGCGAAGGAAGTGCTGCTGAAAGGGGTCCCGGCCGAACTCACCGCGGAGCTGATTCGCCGCTTGCTGGTGGTTTCGAACCTGGTTAAGCGTGGCAGAAGCGCCTTCGCCAGCGGTTTTGGCTTTCACCGCACGATCGACCCTGTCACGGGGTTGGATACTGACATGATTCGTGGACTGGTTGTCCCTCATGTCGCTGATGAATATCGCTGGAGATACTTTGTTGAAGAGCCGACGTCAGGGAAGCGGTATCTTCTGCATTACCCGTCCCTCACCTGCGATTATTGTGGTGGACAGCACATGTCTCGCTACCATGACCACTACATTACTGTACGCCAGGAGAACTTCGCCAACTGGAGCCTCACTGTTAAAAAGGTTCATGAGATCAACGGTACAGGACATGACCTTTTTTTGACAACCTCTCCGACTTGCTTACCTTCTTTCTTCTTCTCCCTGTATATTACCGACGATCATCTGCTTGCCTCCTCACGCAGCGGCTTCCCTGAATGCTTCAGCACCCCTGAAGCGGATCATGAAGGACCCGGCGAAAGTCCTTACCTCCACCGGAGGGTCGCGGGAAGATTGGGTTTGTGTCCAGACAGTGTGCGAGAAGGCGCAAGGAAACCGGTTCGAGCAGGCTACCGCGCACATTGCATCTGCCAGGCACAAGGGAGGTATGAGAAAGGAAGGATCAGCCACGCGTGCCAACAAGCACTCCCAGAAGTTGCTTGCCTTCAAGAAGGAGTTTATCACAAAGCAGGCGAAGTAGGCTTCAGCTGCACTGACGGTGGTCATCTGACAGAATCTTTGGCAAGCAGGATCAGGATAGCAGGATATGTGCTCGGTGCTATGATGTCATTTGCTGTAGCAGGCTGCATAGTTGCAATGAAGTTTAACCGCCCGTGGATGCTGTGGGGCCAACCGGAGTTGTTTAATGGATAGGCACGACAGACTCACCTTTCTGGAGCTCAACATTTATGGGCTCGGCAGCGCAGGGAAACAAGAACGGTGCGGAAAGTGGATAAGGAAAGCTGCAAGTGTTGTAATCCTCACTGATGCTCGGATTCCGGCGGATCACAACTTCTGGACTCAGGTCAAGGCGGAGGCCCAGGCAGTTATTTCACCGTCGCAGAGAGCCGGTGGCGTGGCTGTTTTGGGCTTCCTGAAAGGGATGCGGTTTACAGAGGTGGTTAAATATGAATCAGGCCGGCTCTTAAGCTTGATGGTAACATGGCAAGGCTTAAAGTGCACGGTGGTTGCGGTGTACTTACCGGCGCAAGCTCCTACCAGGGGTGTTCTCTTCCGTCATGTGCTAGCACCTTTTGTGCAGAGCCTGGGTACAGCACCGTACACGATCCTCCTGGGAGACCTCAACATACTTGCAGACCCGGAGCTAGATAAATCTTCCAAGTTAGGTTCACCAGCCCAAAACCAGAGGCTGTTGCAGATCTGTTAGGGGTGGGACCTGCAAGATGCCTTTCGCAGCCTTCATCCGACCCGCAAAGAATACACCTTTTTTTCAAGATTTGCACGCACGAGCACGAGGATTGACAGAATCTTAGTCTCTCACTCTCTCATCAGCTATGTCATAGAGGCGAAACACAAGATGGTTCCCTACGGGTTGACGGACCACTGGTTCGCGGTAGCAGTGACACTGAAATCGGCCTCATCGGGAGGAGAAGGACCAGGCCTTTGGAGATTACAGGCCCCCCAGGCCAGCGGAGAAGGTACACGGAGCATCATCTCGGCGGTTCTGGAAGCCCAGGAGGGCCGCCCAGACCAGGGCCTGGAGCGGTTGATCACGAATCTGCGGGCGGGCATGAGAGCACACGTGGCAGAAGAGCGTAAGCGGATACAGGCAACCATTGCGCATCTGGAGATGAAGTTGGAGAACCTACGTTGGAGAGTGATGGCGGACCCGGCGGCGCAGGATATATATGAGGAGCTGGTGAAGTGTGAGGTGGCCCTGAGATTGTACCATGACAGTAACAAGGAGAGGCTGCAGGTCACGACGGGTTTGATGGTCGAGCTGGCTGGGGAGACGCCTTCGCCATTCCTGTCAGGCCTGGTCAAATCAAAGAAGGCCAAGACGGAAATCAGTGAGCTTCTTTTTAAGGGACGGCACTATAAAGGCGCGAGAGAGGTGCTGGCTGCGGCTTCAGAGTATTTCAGGGAGGCTTACGCGGCCCCGAGTCAGCAAGACCTTACCGAGTCATGGCGGATAGAGGAGGGGCAAAAGCTGCATGAGTCCGATCAGGCGCAGTTGAGCCGGGGGTGGACGGAGCAGGAAGTGAAGACGACGCTCAAAGGTCTTCCTTCAGGAAAGGCGCCGGGGCAGGACGGGCTGCCTAAGGAGTTTTTTGAACGGAATTGGGACCTGTTGGGGCCGGCAGTGATGAAGGAGATCCGAGTCTTCGAAGTGTCGGCGGTTCTCTCGGAGACCTTCACCACTGCTGTCACCATCCTTCTGCACAAAAAAGGAGACAGAGATTCGTTAAGCAACTACCGTCCAATCACTTACTGAGCTTTTTCTACAAGTTACTGGCGAAGGTGCTGGCAAACAGAATCAAAACGGCTTTACCGCGGACGATATCTTCGAATCAGTTTGGCTTCCTCCCCCGGAGAAGTCTGAAGGATGCAGTCGCGCTGGTTGCAGACGTGATCGATGCGGCGGCGGAGGAGGATGAAGACTGGTTGCTACTCCTGGTGGACTTTCAGAAGGCCTATGACTCCGTATCCCGAGAGTACCTGTTTGGGACACTAAGAGACATGGGCTTTCCGGAACGATTCACGGCGTGGGTGAAAGGCTTACATGAAGGGGCAGCCACGAGGCTGCTGCTCAATGGTTGGACAGGCAAACGGGTGGAGATGCACAAGGGAGTGAGACAGGGGTGCCCGCTCGCACCGTACCTGTTTCTCTGCGCGGTTGAGCCGCTCTGCCAGGAAGTGGAGAGAAGGGGACTGGGAGTAAGGAAAAGAGGAGTAGCCGGAGAGTTGGCGTACGTCGGCTACGCCGATGATACCACATTGGTGCTGAAAGGGAAAGCCCAGGTGATCTAGACAAAATCCCTGTTGGAGGACTTCGCTGGGATCTGGGGTCTGCAGATTAACCGGGACAAAACGATACTGATGCCGCTGGGTATCAACAGGAGGCGTACGCAACCAGATGACTCACCTTTCAATTGGGCGGTAAAGGATACGCCGGAGCGATTGCTGGGAGTGTGGATCACGTCCGGGGGTTCACCAGTGCCGGCGTGGGACAAGGCCTTTGAACGGGTGAGCGCGGTTCTCAGTTGCTGGGCGACGAAGCACTTAAAGACCTCGGCGAGGGTCACCATCATCAACTGCTACGCGATGCCGATTCTGCTCTTTCAGGCGCAGATCTATGCCCCACCGCATGACATCTGGAAGAGAGTGCAACGGCTGTGTCACAATTTCATCACAGACGGGAAATCGCTTTTCGACAAGCACTTCATATTGTGGAGTTCTGAGCTATCCTGCAGGGAGCGGAGGAGGGCTGGGAGTCATTGACCCAAAACACAGAGTTAACAGCATGGTCATCCAAGCACTTGGGAGGGCAGTCGCAGAACACGACCCAATGAGGAACTGGTTGTGGGAGAAGGCGGCGGGCTTTCCTCTCGGCCTGGCGACAGTATATGCACATCACTCGATACTGAAATACTGGCCGAAAGGGGGAGTCAGGTGGAAGTCGACGCTCAGCGCCTTGTGGGAATCCAAGATTGTGACGGTGGGGGAACCGGAGAATCGCTGGGATGCGGAAGGAGAGGAGCTGCTCTTCAACCGGAAAATCTTTTTCAGGGGCAAGTCGCCTTTTGGGGGGCAGAAAGGGTTCCACGGCCTGATGAACGTAAAATTGGGCGATCTGCTGAAAAAGGGGGCGGACGGGAGCAGGAGCCGAAAAGATGATGCCACACTGGAGAGAGAGTTAGGTGGAGAATATCAACGGAAGTGGGCAGTCAAAGCATGGGAGGCGACACCCCAAAACTGGAAGGACATGGTGCTGAGGAAGTTAACGGCAGAGGAAGTCTTCATGGCGGCCAGGTTGGTGCAGACGGCATCTTACCGTCCTGGAGAGTTCCTATACTACAGGCTGGACTATGCGAGAGAAGGGATGCTGTACGGAACAAGAGTGACGGTTGACAAGAAAAAGTTCATCAGCAGAGTGGAGTATGCCAGCGTAACAGACATTAACTTTCTACTGGCGACACCTATGGTGGAGATGGACGGCAAGGTACGGGGAGCACTGGGGGCTCCAAGGATGCGGCTTCTGAGATCACGTATCTGTGACAAGGGGGAGCGAGCCGAGCTGAGGCAGCTGAGGAAGGCAATGAAAACCCCAACGTCCCAGCCGGAGCAACAGTTGCAATGGGAAGAGATGTTGGGGAGGGAGGTGGACTGGAAGAAGGCCATCAAAGTCCGTGATTCCCTGTCGACCCCAAGCAGAGCGAGGGAAATTATTTTACGGGCACACAGCAATAACCTGCAAGTGGGAGAAAGGCTCCCTTTTCTGGGAGCACGAGCGGTGTGCATACACTGCAGGGCCTTGGAATCGCAAAACCACTGCCTTTTCAGCTGCCCGACGATTCAGCCGGTGGTCGGAATGATGAAAGCAGCGGTACAGTGGATGCACCGGGGAGAATGCTGAACTCCCTCGGCGACATGCTCTTCTAGAAAAGTGGCACGTCGACGGGTTTTCCGGAAGCAGCGATAATCTCGACCACAGCGCACCAAGTCTGGTTGGAGAGGTGTAATGTGGTGTTCAGGGGGAGTCGGTTCCAGCCAAAAAGGGCCCTTCGGAAAATTGCTGTCAGTTTCGCGATGCATGTGAAGATCTACAGTCGCGCTCGGAAACGGGCGGCGAACAAGGCAGGGAAGAAGGGTGGGGGTAATTGGAGCCACCTGGACGCAGACGAGGCGACCATCATGCGGAGGCTGTTTGTTTCGGAAGCCTCGATGACGTGGAGGGCGGGTTTTAATGCAGTAGGGAAAGACAGGGGAATAGCCTTCCAGCCACCATAGAGGGGATAAGGGGGGTGGGGTTACTTTGGTAGCTTTCTACACTCTCCTAGCTCCAGTTACGACTGAGGACGTATGTATGCAAGCTGTATACTTATATCCAAAAAAAAAAAAAGATTATGTATTCTAGAAGAGCTTGTTCCCGAAGGTTCGGATTATCTGTTGTTTCTATGTATTTCCGAGTATAAATACGCCTTGCACTTACCTGCACATAGTGCAACATTCTCGAGTGGAAATTAGATTCTGTGACACTTGATAATCAGAGCCGTTTTCACTCGCGGAGTTTCAGCTAAGCAGCGCGACAGCAAATTCCCTGCTTCGAAAAACCGCCGGGGGCGAAGAATTCGGCGCCGACGCTGGTAAGCACCAGATTCCGCGTTGTTTGAATAATCCCCCTCGCGCGTTTTTTGAACAGGATCGTAAGTTCAAATTTCTGGCGACGAGTTGGCGATATAGCGACGACAATTGCGAATTCTCGGGACATATATCGAGCGGTGTGGAAGGAGCGAGACCGACGTGCGACAGATCGAACGACTTCGGGTGAAAGCGCGCGTCATGGCGAAAATTGCGACAAAAGCAGAATCGATCGTGACTTCGCAGCAGTCGCGAAATTTTCCCAAGGCCCCAGAATTCGAGCCCCCAACACCTTCGATGGGGAGAACAACGCTCGGCGCTGGCTAGTGGCGATCGAAATTTATCTCGCCGCCATTGGATGGACAGCACCAGAACTCG